CTTGAATGAGTTCTCATTTGAGACCCCCTACAACAATAATTGGCAACAAATTATACTGCCAGAATAAAGAGTGTGATAATGCTAAACGTTTAGTGAAGCCATTAGAAATAAAAAGAGTGATTGATGTAGCCACTCTCTCTCTGGCATAGCCAGACACTGGTATCAGCAGGCAAGGCTGTGGTTAGCCTTGTTTAGCAGAGCAGGTCACTCCCAGCCTGCAGATGGTGTTGCCTGACTCCTCTAGCTGCTAACGCACCTTGTTAGCTGGAAACGGGCTCTTGGCCACGCAGAGACGGGGCTGCAGGGACACTCCGTGTCCCTGACCTGCCACCTTCCTAAGGGTCTGGCAACAGCTGCCCCACTTCACCCACTGAGGGGAACACTAGGGTTTACGTTCATAAAGTTGGCAAGTGCCCAAATGTCTGCAAAATCCAGTATAAGCTACCTCCGGTGCAAATAATAGCTGTGTGTGTGCATTTGTACTTTACTATATGCTAATGCGTACATTAATCTGCAGTAAAAAACCAGATCTCTCTCAATGCCTTCATTACACCAGTGTCACTCTTAAAATCCAGTTGTATTTAACAGAAGGAAGCCAACTTCACCACCACAACCTGCCTGTCCTCTATTAGGACATGTTTAATTATGTCTTGCTTTCTCTGCACAGGAGGATAAATGAGCAGGGAAGAGAATGCCGTGCTGTTGCTCCCGAACAGCTGATGAGGAGTAGTTTGCATAGGGATGAGTACGTGTCCCTGTTGGTAATTAATTGGAGAAGGGAGCAATAGAGTGTTGTGTTTTGGAGCACGTAGCAAGTCTGACTTGCAAAATGCACTCTGCTAGAGACTAGGCAGCCTACCTGTTCCTGAAACCTTTACATCTCAAAGTCTACCACAAATTCAGATGAGCAACCAAGTTCCTGCAGTGTAAGAGGCTCTGTGTCTGGAGCATGAAAGCACGACAAGACAAAAGTGGATGGGATGGTGCACTGTCTGGCCCCTGCTGTTTGTGCAGACAGATGTGCTCACTGACTGCGTACGATTAGATTACTCAATGATTTTACTGGACCATGTGAGCTGAGCTAGCGTTTGCCTTGATGTCTCATTTCATCTCTCCTCCCATTTGCTGCCAGTGCTGCTGCGTTGTGACTGTCTGGTGTCAGTGTATCTGCCTGGGAGCTCCTGTTTCAGGTAGGCTTCTGTTTTCTTCTCTTTGAACAGCCAGATGA